TCTCTCTCTCTCTCTCTCTCTCTCTCTCTCTCTCTCTCTCTCTCTCTCCCTCTCTCTCTCTCTCTCTCTCACACACACACACACACACACACACATTGATTAACTCTTTCATATACCACTGACATGGAGAGGCGACCCAACCCAGACCACGAATCCCAGCTCATTGCAAAGCTGAACAAGGGAATGAGAACAATTCAGACAGATTGATACAAAGGGTGCATAACAAATTGCAACTGGCAACCGAACAACGCACACCAATTGTGGCCTATTCTGTTTACCAATCAACCAGAAAATCACATCAACTAAGACAGATTGATACTATTCTGTTTGCGAATTGGTTCGGCTTGGTCCAGCTTGATGTTTGGTTTGCTTGGGTTGAAAGGTTGAAAAGGTTGATTGATTGGTTTGTTCAATTGTTGGTTTGCTCGTCCGTTTCTTCATTCATTTCTCCCTCACTTGCTCGGTTCTTGATGCCTTGCGTGCCTGTTTGGTCGTTCGTTCATTTTTTCTTTACCTCTTTTGTTCACTTCCTTGTACGTTCTTTGTTTCAAAAAAACATATTGTTTACTTGTTCCTTTGAACCTCGCTTACTCGCTTCTTGCATGCTGCCTTGAACGCTCGCTTCCTGCATACTACTTTGCTTGTCCGTTCACTTTTTCATTACCTCTTTTGTTCACTTCTTTGTTTCTTTGTTTCTTTGTTTCTTTGTTTGTTTGTTTGTTTGCTTGTTTGCTTGTTTCTCTCTTTCGCTGTTTCTCTGTTTGTTTTATGTTTGTTTGCCGGTTCCTTTCTCTTGTTTACGGTTGGTTGGCGGGTTGAACTTCAATATTTCTCATTCATTCGTTCTTTCGTTTTCATTCGCTCGTTCGTTTGTTCATTTGTTTGCTCGTTCGATCGTTTGTTCGTTCCTTCGTCCGTTCATTCGTCGGCTCGCTTGCTTGCTCGTTCTTTCGTTTGTTCGTTTGTTTGTTTTTTTTGTTTGTTCGTTCGTTTTGTTTGTTTTGTTTGTTTGTTTTGTTTGTTTGTTTTGTTTTGTTTGTTGTTTGTTTGTTTGTTTTGTTTGTTTTGTTTGTTTTGTTTGTTTGTTTTGTTTGTTTGTTTTCTGTTTGATTATTTGTTTGTATATAAGAAAAACTGATATGCCGGTCGTATTTGTTTGTTTGGTTGGTTGGTTGGTTGCCTTTGAACTTCTTCTTTCTTCAAAGGTGGGTGATTGAGAGAGAAAGTGAAAAGTAGCCAGAGACATGGAGATAAGCGTACAAACAGTTAAGAACTTAGATTGGCCCGTCTACATTTCATGACCACCCCCAACACCACCTGACATCAACGGCATGATCTGCGGCATGATCTCGACAGGCACCTTCAATCACTACCAAGGAATTTAAGATGGCTGACACATACGAGCGCCTGGAATATATTGGTCGAAAGGTGTGAGAAAAACAAAAATCATACGAGTTGCAAAACTCGAGCATCAATGATTGGAGAACTGCTCTAATGTCTACTTATGACAAGACTCCTAAGCTTCCACGTTCCACTACTCCCGGTGGATTCGTCGGACACATAATGATCATTAACCCACGTTTTTTCTTCTGTTTTTTTTTTTTTTTTTTTTTTTTTTTTGGTTAAATAAGGCTGCACATTCCAAGCCCACGTTTTATTTTTGGGACAAGGACATCCGTTAAAATTGGAACGATACACAGAAGATTAGTATGGCCTCTGCGCAAGGATGACACACATAAATCGAGAAATGGTCCAAATGACCTATTACGGACCGTGTCACAAGTCAACGTCACTTGGGCTTGTTCTTAATTGAATTGATAAAAACAAGTGTGAGGACTTCCTTGCACAAGTTTCTGAAAGGCCTTTGTCCCTCGTTTCATCCGCCCCCAACCCCCCCCCCCCCCCCCCCCCCCCCCCCCCCCCCCCCAAAAAAAAAAAAAAAAAAAAAAAACCGAGTTGAAATAACATACGATGCAGAATGCGATATCAAGTGACCAGATTCATCCAAGCAACTGCTTTTAGGGGCATATACTCAGACTACAGCTAGCACTTTCCTGACTGTATCTGACTGGAGAACTACATCCAGCCGCGAATGACATCTGACGGCAATCACATCTACAGCCCAGTCCCAAAAGACGTGTCGAGCGTGAGTATGCCCTTAATTTCAAGTGAGGGAAGATCTAAGCTTCATCTTACTCTCACATCACCTTGTGTGCGCCGTATCCGGTTGCGGTAAGATCCCAACAACACTGGGAGAGTTCTCGGCCCCTGCCCTGACAAGACCTCCTGCATAGAAGCATGCAGGCACAGCAGTCCACACGATTGATTGTGAAACAAACAAACAACAAGTTGAACAAAACAACACCAAAAACTGGCAAAAAGACAAACAAAAAAGCAACGTGGAGGGAAAAGAACATCTCAATTTTCAGAAATTGACTTAATACGCAGACCGAAAATCAACATCGAAAGCCAAAGTTTTGAGGGGCGCTCCCCCTGGCAAGTTTTCCGACGCCGACGACTTCTCCATGACTGTCCGAACAAATGGCATGTGTATTGCATGCGGAACGCACAGAATCTGTGGCCCCGTTTTATATCGGCGTGAGTTATGGACCGCTTCTGAGGTCATAGAAGCACACACCGTAGACGTTCGATATTTCGTACATCGGCCCAACAAAACACACGGAACCACTGACCTTTCCGTACATCGGCGCATGTGCCGGGCGACTTCGGAGGCAATGAAAGAGCGCTGTAAGCATGGAGAAACCATATATACAATCCACGGAACTTGCATGCGAAGTATCACCTGAAAACTCCCTAGAGAAAAAGTGAGGATCGCGGTTTCTAAATCTTTCACCAACGCAATAGAATAATAGAACAGAAGACTAGGCTACGAGCCGGGCCGCCCCGGGTCACCTTGTTTTCCCGGGCGGTCCGGCTGTG